TGCCATATTTTTCCGTGTTGGATATATCAGGGAATATCAGGTAAGTAGCTGGTCTACCCCTACTTACCTGATATTGATGTCCTATAAATTTCTAAACATATAATAAATTTTTTACTTCATAGGTACTTTTATAAATAATGTATATGTTTTGATACTATAAGATAGTATGATGTAAATAAATAGGTACTATCAGTGTATATGTTGAGATCCACTATCGTGGACCCCCATTTTCACTTCATGGACCCCCAAGTTTTTTTTCACTGACCCCCTTGCCAGTGATCGAGAAATTGAGGAGTAAAAGATTAGCGTAGTTTAGACATGTTATGAGGAGGGATGATGATGATATAAGCAAAAAAGTAATGAGATTGAATGTGGATGGCTACAAGGGTAGGGGAAGACCAAAAAAGTATGGAATGACTTTGTGAAAGAGGATATGTGTAAGAAGGGAGTAGACTCGGATATGACGGCTGATAGAGATGTATGGAGTAGTACATATTGTGCCGACCCTCGATAGGGATAAGGGCAGGTTGATGATGATGATGTAGACCCCTTGCAGGTTATAGACCCCTAGGGGTCGATATAGACCACTTTGGGAATCACTGATTTAAAGGATAACAATGGAAATACGATATTGAATATTGCTTTGTCTGTCTTTATTGCAGTTTCAAGTTACCCAGTCATTTATATTCTTAATATAAAATAACATAAATCAACTACATGCATACGTCCATGTTGCTAATTTCTATTTGATTACTAGACTCTAATCTAGGCTAGAGTTAAAGAAACTAATGTATTATACTAAAATGTAACTTAGCATAAAACATCGATAATTTTAACACGTTCAATGTTACTATTTCTTCTTATAAAAGTGTAATCTTATGGTTTTGTACTATTTAAAACCCAGAGTGCACAAACAAATATATAAATTGCTGTCCACCAAGACTCCGTCTACACGAAATTAAAGAAAAACTTAATAAGTAACCAACGTGTTCTTCCAGACTATGTTCTAAATCTGTGCCAAATTTCATCAAGATCCGTTGAAAAGTTTCGAAGATACATTCTAACAAACATCCATCCATCTAAACTTTCGCATTTATTATATGGTGGTATTATATAATATTAGTAAGATATAAAGATGTCTAGTTTGATCAGATACATATTATACAAATATGCATATTTTCTATTAATTATCGCAAGATATTGCAAATTACTTCGCTGTATCCAATATCCTATACAGGATGCTCATTTATGCAAAAATGTTTGTTAATTTTTAAATTACATCGAACGTTCTAGTAATTATTTGCATGATATTTAATATCCACGCGGTATTTGTAACCGGTTCTGTTGAACTGACAACGTACTTAAATGTATATGTAAACTTGCCTTTGTTATAGTTTGGTTTTCGTATTGTTTTATTGTGTCATCATAAATTAACTAAATACTAGAGATAGGCATTTTAATGAAAAAAAAAACTTTATAGATCGTTTACCTAGAAGAGTCATATTTACTATTATCGAGAATTTAGACAGTTTAGTCTTTAGCTTATCAAGCATATAACATGACTTAAGACCGCCGCACACGGACTGTTTTAAATCGGTACAGACAGCTTCAAGCAATCGGAATACAACCAGCTGCAATTTTAGTATGTCAAACTTCCAGTGCTCGCCAAAGACGCGATACCGATTTGAAGAAGTACGTTTGTGTCAGTCCTTATATGTTTTTGTATTCACAATTACGTTGTAATTGCCACGTTACTTGCAGTGTCAAGGCGGTGTTTACGCAAGCCGGTTTGGTCGTCGATTTCACCTTGATTTAAACAGTAACTTAAGTTTTTACTATTTCATTGTGTTTTATCAAGTCTAAAGTGCTATAAAAAAGTGTATTTTTTATTATAAAGTGGTATTCTAATTGTATTTTAATAAAACTTAATGTTTAGCAAATAATCTTAAGTAAATTGAACATATCACGGTAAAAGTAAGTCAAATTGATAGTGTAAGTTTTGTTTTTCAATATTAGAGAACGTATGCAACGACACTGATTTAAACATTCACGGTTTTGTGCATATAAAATTCAATTTGATACGAAATGTTAGTTACATTAAAAACAAATAGCAATCGACTATTAAAAAGGCTCGGTTGTACAAGATATTATCTTACTTCGCTGAGTTGAGTTTGGCATCAAGCCTAGACAAAGTGCCTTCGTTTCGAAGCCATCCATAACGTATTCGAAAAATGTAAATAACTGACTCGCGACTATCACGTGACTTATCGAAAGTTATTGTCAGTTCTATACATTATGAATATCGTTATGAAATCGCTATGCGAATGCTATTTGTCTAGGTTTCGTAATTATCTGTGTGTGCTAAGAGTATTCACATGTGCCCAAACCCCGGTAAACAGTGAGTCGAGGGAACCAGAGGGGGTTTAGTGGGTAGGCTCCTTGTCCCTTTAGGGATGTGGAGGGAGTCCCACATAACCGGAGTGGCTGTCCCCGAGGCACCCGGTATGCGTAACGCATTCCCCCTCTTAAAAAAAGGTTTCGTCATTATCTTGGAAAAAGTAATACTTTTTAAGATAGAATTATGACACAAGTCTAAAGGAATTCAAAGCTCTAGTTATAACAGAGAATCACTGTTATCTTTTATAACTTGGATTGATTAATAATAATTGGGTGGAAACATATCAGAAACAAATTTACTTATGTAGAATCCAATAATTCGTGGAAAGCTATATTTGTATTCGCAAAATGTCACCAAGCATGACCGCGAAGGAAGGATTTTATCCTTATTGCGTTTTATAATCTGTACCGGTTTTACATTTACATTGACTACGATATTACATACAATTAGGCTTACGTTATGGTATACTAGTGGTGGCCTATACTCCGTCCTCACGGAAATAAAAAAAGACAATTAGGAGCGTATTTGTTCTATATCAAATGTCATCGAAACCTGTTCAGCCGATCTTAAGATATCTTCAAACAAACATCCATCTATCCATTCAAACATTCGCAATTATAATATTAGTAAGATTAACATTTAACAACCTGGAACATTTATTTCGCTTGGTACAAAATCGGCGAAAGTTCACTGAGCTGACGGCCAACCTCCATTAAATGGAGAGGCACCTAGAGAGAGAGAGAGTAAGATTAAATTCGTTATGCAATAAAGAGGCATAATTATATCGCATGAAGAGCTATCAATTAATATCCTTTGTTCTGTTAATTATATCGTATGCAATTATTTCCCTTTTGACAAAAAATACTTGGTAACTTTGTATGCGTTGGAAAATTATCATTTTCTTTGTGAATATACCAATGACCTCGTAAGTATTATTATCTCCCACACAGATTTGAAATTAAAAACAAACATTGTCTTGTCTCTGCAGTCAGAAGTTGTTATGGGTATCGCATTACCATATGTATTGAGTAATCCAGATAAATTCAGTGAATTCGTAATTTAATATAAGAATCTTTGTTACTTGGTTTGTTATAGTACATTGAACTAATTAAAAAAAAAGTACCTAGTGTACCTAGCTCATTGCAGAGGGTTCCGGTTCGTTCCATTGGAGATCCCGGGACCCTCGCAGTCACACTTGAAGTTGGCCATCGAGAGGCTTTTAGTGAGTAGAGTCTCACATAACCCTGACTCCTGCCCCAAAAGGAAAGACATTTAACGAAGATCCTCCCCCTGATACAAAAAGCCCATGTGTTCCTTCAAACTATGTTCTACGTCTGTGTCAAATTTCATCGAGATCCTTTTAGATGTTCTGGAGATATCTTCTAACATCCATCTATCCATCTGAATGTTCATATTCAGATTTATAATATTAGTAAGATGAATCTGTAACGTTTAACATCGAAAAACAAATGAGTTAAATTGAGAAAATGCTACGTTACATGTTATTAGATTGGTCTATTTAATAAGGTAAATTTTTGGTTTAAATGATATGATTCATTATACATTTAGGAGTATATTTTATTGCTAAAAGATTGTTATCGTTCATATCAAATATTATCACAGTATCTCTGTCCGCATCAACATATGAAAATTTATCTTTGTCTTAGTTTAAATTTCGCAACGTTTATGTAACGTCGTTTCTCTTGTAAGTATTTTTTTATTATACATTAAAATTAGCAGAAACGTATTTTTTTATAATTTAATATAGTTTCTCATCGCTATTTAACTTAAGTAGCCAGTTCGTTTATTTGAAATTGTTAATTCATTTAAATTTGCACCAATATTTATTAATTTTTTTTAAATAAAAATTTGGATGAAATTAACTTATAATATAATTTTACAAATTCTTTCTACACATGTAATGTGTTTGATTTTATTTAAGTATCTTTTTAACTACTAAACTTGTTACATAACTTACGTACTACAAAGTTTTAACTTAAGAAGTGTATTAATTCTATGTTTTTACTTTAAACAAATAGTAATGTTTGATATTATGGAACACCTGTATATGGGCTATATTATTTGTTGCGAAAAATAAATTATTTGGTTCGTATATAGTTAATTTAAAATTCTTTTGCTAACTTACATTTGTCATGGTTGTATTCTATTGGTCACGGCTCTTCACGGTCTGTTAAAAATTTTGTTCAGTTCTGCTTATCTCGTTTAAGGCTTTTGAATTACTACATTTTCCTTAAAACTACAAAATTGGTTATATCATTTTGTGATTTTAACTTTACTATGATTCTTATCAGGTTTTTAAGATTATCCTTTTGTTTATCGCAATCTTACACATAATACTTATATATGTCAAATCTCCAAAACGTAGACTGTATTATCAGTCAGTTATGACATGTCTGTATATCGATTTTTCGCCCATTTGTAGCAATAACGTACACATAATTATCGTTTGCTAAACTAGGATTTTTTACGCAAAGTCAAAATATTTGTTAAGATTCTTGATCTACAACCTGCAATGGATGTGCTTATAGTTTCTCACGTTATAGTATCGTGGATAATGATATTTAAATTAATTTTTCTCCAGTTCCAGAGTCGACACCACAACGACCGACAATGGAGAGCGGCGGAGCAACAGGCGCGCTACTGTACGCCGTGGTAGCTGCCGTGCTGGGTATGCTGCAGTTCGGCTTCAACACCGGCGTCATCAACGCTCCCAAAAATTTCATCGAGAATTTCATTAAGGAACAGTACGACGCAAGCCCTGACCTCATATTCGGTGTCATCGTCAGTATCTTTGCGGTTGGCGGTATGATAGGCTGCCCGCTCGCCAGCTGGGTTGCCGATAAACGTGGCCGCAAGTTCGCTCTACAAGCTAACGCCATTTTTGGAGTCATCGGCGCGCTCTTGATGGGTTTTAGCAAAATCGCCTCATCGGTAGAGATGCTAATTATAGGAAGATTTCTAATCGGTATAAACTGTGGCTTTGCAACTACTGCCTCCCCGACTTACGTATCGGAGATATCTCCTTTAAAACTCCGAGGTGCGTTCGGTACTGTTAATCAATTGGCGGTCGCGCTTGGTCTCGTCGGAGCACAGATTTTGGGGATCGATGTTATTTTGGGGAGTAATGACGGATGGCCACTTTTGCTTGGGTTGGCGGTGTTCTTATCTGCCATTCAATGCTTCATGTTGCCATTCGCACCGGAATCCCCTCGATATGTGTTGCTGGTACAAAGGGATGAGGAGCAAGCGAGGGCGCTACTTGCTAAGATCAGAGGAACTGGTAACATCGATGATGAAATTAATGAAATGCACGAAGAGGACAGGGCTGCTAAACAAGAAGAGAAATTCACTATTGGAGATTTGTTTAGAATAAAGGCTTTGCGAACGCCTCTTATAATTGGAATCGTTATGCATTTATCTCAACAATTAGGTGGCATAAACGCAGTATTATATTATTCCTCTACAATATTCGAGAATGCTGGTTTAACGGTTGAAAATGCTAGATTAGCTACCATTGGTGTTGGAAGTATTTTGTTTATAATGGCGCTTGTGTCCATCCCGTTGATGGATCGTTTGGGCAGGCGTACATTGCAGCTGTGGGGTCTCGGTGGAATGGCATTGGCTTCAGTTCTTATGACCATTGCTTTCTATACGTACAAAGACAACTTTACTATGAGTATATTTGCTGTAATTTTCACATTGTTTTACGTCGCTTTCTTCGGTGTTGGTCCGAGCTCTATCCCTTGGATTATTCTTTCGGAGTTATTCGGCCAAGGCGCAAGGAGCGCTGCTGTCAGCGTTGGCGCGGCTGTGAATTGGTTTGCGAATTTCATAGTCGGTCTCGTTTTCATTCCATTGACCAACCTATTAGGCAATCTTGTGTTCTTGCCTTTCACGATACTCTTGATCTTTTTCTACGTGTTCGTTTACTTCAAACTACCGGAGACGAAGAATAAAACTATCGAAGAAGTAACGGCTGTTTTTAAGAAATAAATTTAAGTTGAAACATTCCTTTTTATTGTAAGTTGCAATATCTTGTGATATTTGCCGTTATTGAGTGCGATGACGGATAATTTGTATGTGATTTTCGGTTACTAATGTTCGTGTTTGACATCTTCGTGATATATATTGATGTTAGATTGAATTCTGGTGTCGCAATCTTGTCAAAAAACCGACATAAATATTTTGAAATATATGGAAATTAAGATGTCAAGTACTAAGGGATTACGAACAAAAGATTTCATTTAAAATTAAACCACGTCGAATCGCATATTAGGAAGACTGATGCCTTATTTATTTCTAAACTGCAACATATTCTTAAAGTACTTATTCCTTTAAATTTAAAGTAAAATGTATTGATATTTGGCGTTTTCATATATGAAAATATAAAAAGAGAAATGACAAAATATATTTAACATGTTTCTACCTATATAACCTGTACATTAGATATAAAAATCTTGTAATTCATGACTTTATTTCCAATAGTTTTTAAATTAAGATTATTTTAAGCTAATTGCAATATTAATAGTGAATGGTTTGTGGACCATTTCTTTTTATTCTATAATTTGTTATCGAAGATTTTTCTTATAGAACAAGGATTGTTATATATTACGTTTTTTATATCAAGTTTTCTATAGTGCCTTAAATTATTTTGTTATTTCTAACATTTCTATGGTATTTCTGTTGAACCCTTTTAACGTATATTAGTATAAAAATCATATAAACTACGTAGAATTTCCAACCGTCCTAGTATATTTAGTGCCAATTTTATTTCTTTAGATTATAAGGTTGTTATGTTTTGAAACACTCCAATTACCATCTCCACTAGAAACACTAAGTTAACACCTAATTTTAGTAAATTTACTATGTTCACTATGCACGTAGAAATCTAGTGTATTTAAGTCGCATTTACAGTTTTTTTTTCTGTTTCCGTCACCGTAAAAATGTCGAATAAATGTATGGATGAAATTCGAAAATCAAAAACACGTTACATGTCGAGGATCGAACCTGAACGTTTATAGATTACGGGGGCGTCAAGAGCTTAACAACTGTGTCATCGACGCCGTATTATTATGTATTGTCTACTCTCTATCTTATATATTTTATTTATATAAATTATGTATTTAAAAAAAATAAGCAAAAAGCACAAGTTATAATAAATAAAATAGATGGATATCTTTTTATTCATAAAATACTGTTAACATGACTATTTATATTTATAAGAAATCTATTTATTTGGATTATATTTTATTTTTCGTATATTTATGATTTTTTGTAGTTTTATTTTTTACTCCGTGTTTGTCTCTTTATACAAAAAGGATTTAAATTGATTTTGGCTGATTTGTAATAGAAATAAGAAAAAAATCCTCTTATAGTGGATTTCCGAGATCAAAATCTCTGTATGAAATATCGTCATCACTTTTATTATAATATCTGTGACAAAATAGAAATAACAATATATTTTGAACGAAGGTTTTCGTCTCAGAAACCAAGGGTTAAAAACTATAATTTAAGTGTACTTCGTTTATTTGGACAAATAAATAACTTTAGAGTTAAGTTTATTATATATTTAGAATCAAATAGCTTTATATAAGGAATATAAATCAAATATATATAATTGCTCGAATGCTTTATTTATTGTAAATATAATTTTCTACAAACACATTTCTACTGCCTGTTTTAAAATAATAAATATAATAATTTTAATGTAACGATTATTGTTTGTAAATATTATAGGAAGCATATTTCATAAAATAACAAAAAAAAACGAATTTAATTGACATGTTAAATAATTAAAATATATTAATATTTCTGAGTTTCAATAAAATTCACTTAACCATCATTAATGTCTATAAAAAAATATACAAAAACTGGAACTAAATTAGTTCCATTTCATTATGCCAAATTAATCACAACATATGCAACTAAGGACTGGGTATTATGGCAATCGATGGGGGAGGCCTACGTTCAGCAGTGGACGAATTTGGGCTGGAAAAAAATGCCTAGACTTTAGCCTAGTCCCCCTAACTTATGGTAGGCTCGAGCCTTCCAGTGGGAACGTATATAGAGCTGATGATGATAATATAAATAATATCGATTATATTTTAATACCATAGACAAACTATATATAGACTAGAAATTATTATAAGCAACGTTAAACACGAAAGGATTATTAGAATCAATTATCTCCGCAAAGTGCAGAGAACAGCTGCAGAGCCTCATCCTGCTCCTCCTCTTCCACTTCCCCTTCCAGCCAGAAGGTCTCCATCATGCCTTTACCCTGGAAAATATAACCAGGTAATAAGTAAGTCAATCATTATAATTTTGTCATGTTCTTCCGGTACCTACATAATATGTTTTTTACAGATACTACAACACGAAGAAACCTGCGATATGAGCTTTAACTGGTTTACGTTTTGGTATTAAATAATATTAAACTTTAGTTTTAATATTAACCTTAACTTTAATGAGTCCTCTTCGTCTCAATCGGAATCTGCCGGCGGGAAGTTCGGCCGCCGTCTTCGCGGATATTTGAATGCGACCCGGCTGAAAATCCCAAAAAAAATTTTAATAGGAAATTGACCACGATTTTTACAATATTAAGGAAACGAATTACATACTATTATTTAAAAAATAAAAAACCTCACCTCTGATGATGTCTGCATTCTACTAGCAGTGTTGACGGTGTCACCAACTAGGCAGTAGCGGGGTAACCGACGGCCCAGCACTCCTGCCACGCACGGACCAGAATGTACTCCTGTTGCAAAAACATAATTGCAGTAAAACAAGAAAATTGCAATGTATATATCACAGGGGTGTCCAATGCGATTTATGTTGGTTAAACGACTATATTATGGACAAGTATTTAACAAAAGTAGTAATATGATGTTATAAATAATACCGATGGTAAGCATAGGCAAAGCGCGGGACACGGCCAAAGCGGCGCTTGCAGCAGCTGCGGCGTGCGCTCGACGTCGCTCCGGCGCGCCTGACACTAACATATACACAGTGCCTACTGTCTCTACCTGGAAATATATTGCTGTTATAATGTTTTTACGTACAGTCCTTTAAAAAGTTAAGTATTTCTCTTGTACCTTGTACACTCTATGTGCGTCTAGTAGTCTATCAATTCTGGAGTATACGTCATTCATGTAGGCAACGGTCTGCATGACGTCAGCGCGGCTTCCTGCCTCCGCCAGTTGCACGCCGCAGAACATTATAGTTACTGACTCGAATGCCTGGAAAGTCATAACGTCATAGATTTACAGACCTTTTAAAAAGGAAGTTAAAATTTGATATCCTTCATTCACGTTTTGTGTTAAGAAATTCAGTAAGATATGAAGAAAGCCAATCTAAATTTTTGTGTCTGAACACAATCTCACCTGACAAGCTCCCATCGGATCTTTACCGGCTCGCAAATGATCAGCAATTCCTTTTGGTATCATGGAATATAGCAATTGATCGCCCCTTTTCTTCCACTGGTCCAAAAGTCTACATGACTTTTCGAGTGACAAACTTCTACTTTCAGCCTTTTCGAAAAGCAGTTCCAAACGAGAAAGATGCTGCCAGCCATGCAAAAGCATTTCCTTGGAGAGACCGTGACCGTTCATATCAGCTAAGTATAAACCGGCTTGTCTTAACTCGTCTAAATCGTTGAAACTGTAAAAAAGAAAAAAGATGGTTAGTCTCGAATTGTTTAAGATTATGAACAATAGAAGTCGTTATTATATGTCAACATGATACTCACATTGGACTGCAAAGAAAGATGAGAGCATCTATTTCTTCAAGCAAATAAATTGGTCCTTTGAGCAGGATTGAACGTGCGCCTTGGGAGCCGCGGCGCGCGTCATTGACACATCGCGCCTTCCACCTCATTAGCTCTAATTCGAACAACATTGTCTGCATGCATACCACCTAGATGAACAGAATAATTTAGTTTACATTCTAAATATATTAAAGTAAAAAGAAGTCAGATGTCAGAAAATCTGTACATTTTAGTGAAAATCTTTTCTAGAATTTAATTCTAAACTTTGAATTACAAACAATTTTTAATCCTAATAATTTAAGTGTTGACAAATGCATTCACCTTATCCCATGTGAACGATATTTTCGGTTTCCTCAAACGCAATATTTCAGAAACTGGTGATTTCATTATTCTGTAGCTAGGTCCACCCCAAGCTGCTACCAACTGAAAAAGCTATTCTATTAAAAAAGGGCCAATGTGCTTTATATCCTTCATTATTGTCTACCAAATTTACGTATTTTAAGAACGCTGTACGTTAAACTTACTTTCTCTCCTGCTAAAAGGATCTTCATCTTCCTATCCAGGAGTACACCAAAAGGAAACAACTGCAGAAGTAACGAAGCTGGAATAGCTGGCATTAAACAAGGCAGTGATTTACGTAGCATTAGAGATTGCACCTGAAAATCCATATTGTAAACTATCATGTTAGGAAGAAAATCCAAAAATGTGGCAGTGTATTGACCCATCACTAGCCTTACTAAAATATCGACGTTTGTGTCCCCTCACTTTTCATTCTGACACTGGACTTTGTAACGAAAGCACGTCATTCGCGTCAAAGGATTCTAACTAATAATGTCTAAAAATCATAGGTAATTTTAACGAAAAAATAACTATAAAAATATTCACGCTGCAATGTATAAATGTATGACGACGTTGACTTCTTATATATTTAGATTATATTTAAAAAATGTTATTTTAAAAGAAAGAAAATTAAAGTAAGCAATTCATTTTGTAATTTAGTTTTAAAACTATCAACATAGCTGTAGGCCACTCCGTAATAACGCACCTGCCCATTCGATTGGACATAAAACGTTCCATTTTAGATTGGATCCTATCAATACTTT